ACAGGATAGTCAGCTTTACGATAAAAAAGGCAACTGTAGGGTTTTGGCTATAGAACAAGATATATGCAGATTTGTAGAGACAGACTTTCTCTGTCTAGCGGTGTATGTATTATCAGGTTCTCATGTGTACTGTTTACATCTTAATAGATGGGTCACCTTCGTCGTATTCTACCGTAGCTATGACAAAGGTGTTGTTATTTATGAATATGTCACAGTACGTAGTAAAACTTGACAATGCATACACTGTTAGAAAGAGAAAGTCTTTCTGTAGATGATGATCATCGAAAAACTTAAAGTCATAATTGAATATCTTCACTCTATAGAGCTAATTATTTTTTCGTGATAGAAGAGATTTCAAAGGATTTTTTTCCAATAAGGAATTTATGACCTTACAGGTGATACTATAAATCTAAACTTCAGACGTACATATTTTCCAAACCACTAACTAATGGTGCATTTTAAACGAAGTAAAAAAAAATGTTTTCTTTCTTTGAGGACACTTTCCAACACATTGAGACTTCGATAAAGTTTCCTGTTGTACAAAACTATTGCCTTATTTTTGTAAGTAAGCTTTTGTTTTGGCAGCAAAATATTTAAAATATGAACACCTATTCAATCGTCTAACTGCAGTTGCCAATTTCATGTAAATATCTATCAATTATTGTAAGCCTTCGCTTTTCAGGATCGATGCTAACGTAAAGTATTTGGCTCCGAATCAATACCTAGCAGTATTTTGAGACGCATTCTGAAAAGTCATGCTTTTCAAAGCGAGCCTTTGCCTATGACGTATTTGTTCAAATGTCATCGGGTGCAAAATTTAACTCTGCACAGAATGATATCATTTTTAAATTGAGGAGTGGAAACATTAACTTATATCGTATTAAAAAAGAGCAATGATATAATTCTGTTAGAAAAGACTTTTCTTTTCATTTTTTACATTTTTTCCTTCAAAAAACTTCTCTCACCTATATTTCTTCTAAACTTCAGAAATATTTATAAAAGAATACAGAAATTTGTAGAACACATTGTATCATTTTGAAGTTTGAATGAAATTTTTATGAAAAATTATTAACTTTGTGACCGTCGCAGTATATGACTTAGTAGGTGTTTATCTTATAAATTTTGTATCAACAGAAAAATGTTATTTAAAAAAGTCTCTCATATGTTGAGAATTGCCCTTAAAAGTCCGTTTATTGTGTCAATTATTTTGAATTTCGGAAAAAATTTACTCCAAAATTGTAAATTTATTTTATGACTTTTAAGTTCATCAAAGTCTTATAGGAAAAAAACTCTAGTCTTTCCTATCGTGAAAAAATAATTAGCTCCATAGTGTGGATATATTTACATTTTTCATCGTATAGCTACTTATGGCTCATACTATATTAAAAAAGAAGTTTTTATTTACCTATAAAATAAAGTAAGAAACCAGTATATGCTCGTTTTGTATTAGCAAAATCAGATTTAAACATTAATGATGCTTCAATAACATCATCAAATAGAAGCGTATATGGAGATAAAGTACCACACATTTTCTCTCCACTATTATTTATTTGAAGCCAATCATTAATACGTTTAATACCGAAAAATCGAAGTACACTTAAACCTTCAATATCAAAATTAACAGCATAAATTTTTAATCTAAAACAAAGAAAAATAAAATGCAACTTCTGTTTGTTTTTTTTATTTATTTTTTTTTTTTTGAGAAAAAATATTACCGATGACCCTCATCTGGTGATGGTACTGTCTTTGAACATACACGATTATTTGGATAACCATTTGGATAATTTGGTGTATGAATAAAACCTTCTGTAAGACCATGAAGTGATTGTAATGAACATATATCAATACGAGGTAATTGACTCGAATAAAAATCTAAAATAAAATTTTTTTTTACTTTGTATTATTAGAATAATTATTTTTTTATATTTTTTTCATATTTACCAGGTACACACGAATAATCAACATTAATACTTTGACCTCTAAATGCACAATTAGCTTGTTTACCAACAAGAAATGATGGTCGTTGTTCAAGGCTATTATCAATTGTACACGTTTGTTGTCCATTACATAACGTAGTTGCACGTTCTCGATAATAACCAATACAACGAGATGGTGCATAAATAGAACCACCAGTTTTTTCTTCATCTATACTTGGACATTCTGATGAATATGTTACTTCTAATATAATTAATTTTTTTCCTTCAGAACATTTTAATGTAACTGACGTTTCACATGTAAATCCTGATTGTAATGACTCTAGAATAAAATTTATTATTCCGTTATATTTTTCTTTAGTTTAAAACAAAAAAAAAACAAATTCAATTCTAAACTTACGTGAATATTTTAATAAAACAAATATAATAAAAACGAAACAATAATTTGAAATCATTCTATCTGAAATATAGGCAAGAAAAATCATTTACTATATAAAGTAATTAAATTCACATGTTTCATAAAGATGTGAAAAGAAACATGCAATGAGTAATATTTTGCAAAACATATTTCTATTGTGTATATATGCATTTCTTTTTTGATAATAATAACAATTTTTTTTGCCTTATCGTCTGGAATAGTCACGATGATTGAAGAAAAAAAAACATCGCAATTGATCATCTAACACTCATTCGTTTACTTCTATTGCACGTATTCTTTGTACATAGATTTGCGAAGAAAAAAAAAACAAAGAAATGAATAAGACGACTATAAAATACACTACGTTAAGAAGTGTTAGACAAAAGTATAAAAAGAGAGAGAGTAATGTTGTTGGTATTTATTGAATACATGGAGAGAACGAGAATGGCGAAGCAGAAAAAAAAATAGATGCAGAAAGAAACATATGTTTGTCTGTGTAATCAGTTCTCTCCTAAATGTTATGGAATAATCAAAAATTGTTTTATCTCGAATTATTATATACATACTTCAATGGAACTAGTCCGATCAATGATCATGCATCTGTATTGATTATTTACATTAATCAATGTTCTAATCTGTTGTTGTTTGCGCAAATACACATCTATGTGATCTTTCTTCGTTTATCATTGAAACAAAAAAAAAGAGGAAATGTAAATCCCCTTATTTCAGTTCACTGTGAATGAACATTTTAAATTTCTTATCTATCATTGTCAATCTCACTTCGTGTCTTTCTTTTTTTTTTTCTTGTATTACTCTGTTGATAAGAAAACGAGTATAATGATGAAGAATATGGAAGACATCGAATTTTGAATTGAACTTCAACAGTTCACATGCTTAGAACGCGTTCACACGGTCAACATCATTGAGAAGCAACGAGAAAAACACATACAAAAGAAAAAGACAGAACGAACGGATGAATAAGAACAGAACGAAAGAATAATGAGCAAGCAGTATGAAGGAAAAATGGATGGATGGAGGTTCCCTCTTCAATTGCCGTTGGTAGACAAGTGAGGTCGTTATCAACATAATAATAAAGTACACATACATATATACATATATATATATATACAAGTATTGTTCAATGATGAACGAGGTTTTTTAGAACTATAGTATGTCCTTATATCGAATAGCAGTAAATCATTTTTATGGTGATTACATTCTATTTTTAGTTGTTGTGACTAGATGTCGTAATATTATGCATGTTTATATGTACTTTCAGTATTGTAGCATGTTAAATTGTTATATTCATTAAATGAAAATCATTATATTTCATTCGGATTTACATTAAATTATCGAGTTCAATCAAAATCAAACAAAGTTAAAAAAAATGGTTTCAATCGTTTTGTTCTTGTCAATTTCGACTAGTCTAATAAATTTTTTTATTATTTAAAAATCTATAATTATGCAATTTTTTCATAGAACAATATCATTCTTGTGAAAAATTTAGCTCAAAAGAATATTTTATTCATGAGAGATTTAATATCGAAAATTTTCACTTTTCACACAATTTATGCTTGTTTTCTAATTTATCGATTATTTGCTATGAATAATATATATTTTATACGATAGTTTTATCAAATTTTCTATAACTTTCGAAATTATCGATGAAAAGAATTCATGATTCAAGTTCTTCATATATTACTTAAGGTCAAAAGATCAAAAAGTGACATCATATAGAAAGAAATCCATTCAATTTTTCAAAGCTCTACAAATTCCTATATATGTGACTGAAAATAATGAGGAACACTTGTAAATTTTCCTTTCGATACTTCATTATTTAATATAGTTTATGACAGAATCATCTAATAATTGGTGTAAATAGTTGTAATAAACATGTTTAGAGTACCATAATTTTATATCTGATAATTATTTGTTCGAAAACTTGAAAAATAACTTAATATATATAATTCTTTCTTATTCAACAAATCTCAATTTTCGATCTTCTGAAAACTTATCCATTTAGTCGTTTGTTTTTTTTTCTTCTCTACATAATCAATAAATATCATTGATTTAATTTTGACACATTATGTGTTTATATATTTTCCGTCGCAGCAAGATGATCAAGAACAAAAAAAAGAAGAAAAAAAAGATAGACAAAGACAGAATTAGTGTTTTAAAAAACAGAAGAGCATACAAGAAAGAAAAGAGATATTGAACAGCAAACAAATAATCAAACACGGAGTGTGTGTATGAAAAAAAAATCAAGTAGTAGGCCGAGAAAGAACAAATTCACACACACACACACACACACACAACATCCATCCATAAGAACAAGTACGCGTTTTTTTTGTATGACCACACAAAAATACATTTCTCAAAAAAAAAAATGTACACATACAAGAAGGATATAAATAAGAATAGTAACAACGAAACACATTATAATATTTTATTTTATTTTTCCTTTCTCGTCCTCATTCATGAGTGTACATTTGCTTTGTCTTAGGCTTTTTTTGTTACCATATTTTTCTCTAATACTAAGGCCAGAAGAGAGAAGAAGAAAAAAGAATCTGTACAAAGTGGAGACTATACATTCAAAGATAAAGAAGATAAAGAAGAAGAACGAAAGAAAAAAAAAACAAAAAACAAAATTAACTGTTGTGCAATGAACAATAGTGCAAAACATCTGTAAGAACACGTCCAACATTTGAATCAATAACATGTGAAGTAGATAAATTTAATATTCGATCTTCATATCGTTTCACCATTTTAACATTATCCGTATAACTAACTATTGATAATAAACATGTTGCTGCACGTTTTAACATATCACCTGTTGTAAATAATATTTGTTCAGCATGTTGAATATTTGATGGTTGAGTTGTTAAACGTATAACATAATCAGGACCATAACGTACCATTAATTCATTTGTTTTCATTTCATAATCTTCTAAAAAATTTAATAATAATGATATAGCATATGGTATACGTGCAATAACACTTGAAGCTAATGTATCACATCGTATTAATGCATTTAATAAAACAATAGCAAATTCACGTTGTATATGTGATGTTGGTCGTGACATATTTGTATAATAATGTGTTGATGATGTTAACGATGGTGGATGCCAATTTGATATACCACCATTGATATCATCAACAATTAACCAATCAGTTAAAACATGAAATAATGATACAATACGATAAAATGGTGGTGTTGCTAATATAAAATCCATATTCATTTCATGTACACTTAATTTAGTTAAAATTTCAATAGCTAAACGTTGTGCTGATAATAATGATGAATGTAATGAATCAATAGCTTCACCTGAATAACATGTTGACCAATGTAAAAGACCATCAATTAATGTATATAATAAATCCGAATCAAATGTATCAAGTACAAGTGCACCGGCAATATTGGCCAATGTAACAAGAGTATTTTCACGTACATTTAATACACATTCTGCCCATGAAAATGATGGTGAACATTTTTGTTCGTCAGTCTAGAAAAAAAAAAAGAAATTTCAATTTCAATATGTGTGTTATTTTTTGAAAACAAAAAACAAATTTTTTACTTTTAATTGATTTGGATTTACTGTTTCGTCAGGAGACAATTGATTATCTGACATATGATTGTGATTAATCCCATGCCTGAGTAATAAAAGACGAGCTAATAAACCAATTAATGTTTTACATTTGACCAATTCAATATCATTGCCTAATATAAAACTGAGATTACGTAATATTGATGATACACATGTACAACGTGCACATATTTGATCATAAGCAAGTGAATGATAAGTAAATAATGATGATACATTCTCTTGTTGATCATTTGAACTTGTACATGAATCAAAATCTTTATGATTTGATTTATTTATTGATAATGATGTTGATGATGATGATGATGATGATGATGAACATATACCAGAATAAAGCTCATATGTTTGATGTTCATCATATTCAAATTTTCGTTTATAACGTTCAAGAAATTCTTTATTACTATCTGAGATTTCTGTTAATGAATCCGAATTATAACGACGACGTTTTGAATTATCTAATGTTGTTATTTCATTTATAGTTATATCATTATCATCATCAGATATTTTTATACGTTTACGTGATGATATTTGAGATTTTTTTATTGATTCTTGTTCATTATCATTAGATATATGATTATCTAATAAATTATCTGTATGATGACCATAATAAAGTTCTTCATAAAAAGTATCATCAAGACGTAATGGATCAAAATGTGTACGTATATAACATAAATCATCTGTATTTTGTAGATCTAATACCTGTAAAATATAAAAACAAAAAAAATCAAGATATTTTTATAGTTATAGAAAGAAGAATCACATTGTGTTTCATGCTTCCTTCCAGTATTGAGTAGTATCTAGCTTCGGATTCAATATTCTGATATTTTTCTTACATGTATGACTATCTCGAACACTGGAAAGGTCATTTCGAAAAGTTTTTGCATTCGACATATATAATAACTATGCACAAGAGTGGACAATAATAGTCTGAAATTTCTCAATTAAGAAAAGCTTTTATTTTTCTCAGCGGAGTTTGAAAGTTTTTGTACGTACCTCTCGAAAAGAAAATTGCGACACCCCTCCGCTTTAATGTTAGCCGTGACTTTTCTCTGGCAAAGAGTGAAATAAAGAAAAGACAGAAAATCTCATGGTGAGGCGAATAGGATTGAAGCAAAACTTTTGGAAAGGAAGCACTCGGAAGATTCGGATTACAGTGGGTTTTCGTTTTTCAATCTGGTTATCAATTTTAGCAATGTCTGCAAAAACTTTCGCATTGTCTACCAAAAATAGCAGCAATCGTGAACACAATATAGTCAATATGCTATTGAATGAATGTTCCGAGACAAATAGCCGTTATTGACTTGTCTAGTGTCATTCCATAGCACTAAAATTTGCAGAGTATCTTATAGATATATCGATATATATATATATATATATATATCATAATCACTCAGCCATAGAATACATACATTGGTTGGATCGTTCTTTTCATTTCCTTGTTCATCATAAACACGATCGTAAACAACTGATTGTTCTTTATTATATTTTCGTCTATATTTATTTAATGAATTTGATTCAACACGATAAATAATTGACTCTTGTTGTTTATGTTCATGTTTTTTAATTGTTGTACATGTTAAATGTGACGAACCATTTAAATCTTTTAATAATGGTTGTTGATTTTCAATATTTGATGGTGAACTTTTAAATTCATCAAATAATTGTGTTAAACATTTAACATAAATATCAACAATAGCTTGTAATAAACCAGGCATTTGTTTTAAACGAAAATATGTATGAGTTTGATCATCAGTTAACATTATATTAATTGTATCTAATGCCCATGTTGTTTCAGCAAGTAAACCACCACGTAATGACATCATTAGTTTCCATGGATCAACTGGAGCTAGATAAATATAAAAGTTTAGAAATATACAAAATAATATAAATTTTTAACGATACATACTGACATCTTTAGCTGTTAATTTTTTACGTTTAATTTTCGAAGAAAGTGTTGTTGCTTCAACAGAATTAGAAGGAAAATTCGTTGTTGGCATTGATGATGGTGTTATTGTTGAATTTGTTGTTGATGATGTTGTTGTTGATGATGATGTTAAAATTGATATAGGTGTTGATGCTGGAAGCATAGATGTATTTGAAAAAGATGAACGTAGTTGATTCATTAATAATTTATTTCCTTTATTTGAATCTTGATTATCAATTGTTGATGAATCTGTTGTTGATGTTTCAGGTTTTTTATATGGATAATTTGGTGGTACTTGATTTGGATAAGTTTGATTAGGTGGAACTTGTTGAGATAAATATGGATCATGTGTTTGTGATGGTCCAACCATCATTGGTGCACGCTGTTGTTGTTGTTGTTGTTGTGGATAACCTGACGGAGGATAGGCACTAGAAAAAAAACAATACATTATATATATATTAATGATAAAGGTTCGACGTGAGAATTTCAATTATTTCATTCTTTTTTTTACCTTAGCATAGGTTGTTGTTGTTGTTGTTGTTGTTGTTGTTGTTGAGGTGGATAATGATATGTTTGTTGTGGTCCTGCTGTTGTTGGTGGTGGTGGTGCTTGTTGATTCGGTGGAACACAAACTAAATTGGACGTTTGAGCTACATTATAATCTTGTTGTGTTGATGGTACCATTTGTTGTGGTGGTTGTGGTTTTGAAGCAATCGATGGGTATGGTCCTGTTGGTCGATGTTGAGGTGCCATTGATGATGGTGGTTGTGAAACTTGTGATGATGGTAGTGGTGGTGGCATTCCATAAGCATTTGATGGTGGTGGTTTCATCATTTGTGGAGGTGGTTGTTGTTGTTGTCCTGGTGGTAATGATGGAGGATAACCAGCACGTTGATAATCGATTTCTGGATTATTATACATCATTTGTCCAGTGGATGATGGATCGTATGCTGGTTGCATTTCATTACCAGTTGTACCATATGGATGCATAGACATTTGCATGGGTCGATATTGTTGTTGTGGATGAAGCATTTGATGTGGATGTCCTTGTTGAGCTGACGGTGGTGGTGGTGGATAACCTCGATATGGATCTTGAATAGGAAGTTGTTGTGGTGGTGGTAGCGATGGTGGTGGCTGTTGTTGTTGTTGTGGAGGTAACACAGAAGTTTGAGATTGAGATGATCCTTGTGAAGGTACTAATTTTCCATCATTTGTATTATCATTCGTATTATTTGTTGTTGTTATTCCACTATTACTAGCTGTTTTCTTTGGTGTTTTTGAACGTTTACCTTGTTGTTTTTCAATTTCAGCTAATATAGGTTCAGGATTAATTCCACCTCGATCAAATTTACATTCATAATGAAATAATTTTAAATTAATATATTTTTGTTTAACATTAAATGCTGCACTTGATGAATTCGGAATGTTTAATTTTGATGCTATTTCACGCCAATGACGATTTTTAGCTACTTTTGAAAATTCTTGAAAACCATTTTGTTCACGTACACATGTATATAAACGATAGAGATCAATTGTTTGTTTTGATATAGTTGGTAAATTACGACAAACTATTTGATGTTCTTCCCATAATTTTTGTAAACGATCAACAAATAAATGACGTTCTTGCCGTTCAGATTCATCACCCATATCACGTAATTTAGTAAATACTTCAGCTGGTGTACTATGTGCATTTGATGTTGCTGATGATAGTTTACGTTTTTGTTGACCTTTTTCTTGTGATGGTGGTGGACTATCAGGAAAACTTGAATTACTTGAATCAGCATCATCCGGAACATATGATGACATGCTTGTACCACTAGGTGATTTTGGTCCATTTGTTGATGATGATAGAGATTGTGTTTGAGATGATGATGACGAAGGAAGTAGAGGCGGATGATGTGATTGTTGTTGTTGTTGTTGTTGTTGATCAATCATCATTCCTAATGATGGTTTATTACGATAAGCATTAGTATCATCTTCCATTGATTGCATAGGTGGAGGACGAAATTCATTTGTTGGTTGACCATGCATTTGTGCTGGATGATTAACATATGGATCTATTTGAAAGACAAAAAAAAATTATATATATATATATTTACAACAATTAATTTTAAATTGATTTACTCATTTGTTGTGGAGGATAGCCATAATTTGGTGGAGGTATATTAGAATATTGTTGCTCCATATAGGTATGTCCACTGGAATTCATAGTATTATTTGTTGAATCATTTACATTACCACTAGTATTATATGAAGATGAAGGTTGTTGTGGATAACCTGTTGTTGTTGGACCATTTGCCATTGCTGAAGATGGATATGATACCGGTTGTTGTGATGCACTACTTGAATTTGAATCTGAATCACCCGTACTACTAGCTAAACCTGGTGTAACAACATCACGTTGTACTGGTGGTGGAGGCCATGATGATTGTTGTTGTGGAGGTGGTTGTGGTGGTCCATAACCATTAGAACCACCTGGTTTATATGCAACTGGTCCATTTGAATATGATGGGTATGGTGTTTGATAACGTGGTTGTTGTGGTGGTGTTGTTGGTTGTGAATTTGAGCGTTTAGGTGAAACTTGTTGAGGACGAGATGCAGGTTTGCCTGATGTCGTTGATGGTGATGATGCTGCTATACCATTTTGATATGGTGATCCCGATGAATATGGTTGTCGATATGCATTTGTATTAGGTGCTGGTGATCGGGGATTCATCATTGCTCCAGGTGGATACTGTGAATATTGAGGAACATATTGAGGTGCACTACCACTATTTGATGTTCTAGTATACATGTCGCCTATAATATGAAATAAAATACAATAAAACTAGCAATGCATGTGGCGCTCTTTTTTTTTTCTTGTATTTAATAATCATCAATGAGATGCTCGTACAGCGAGCACAACATCAGCAGTGCAGTAAACGAACGAAAGCACAGAGAAAGAGAAGAAACAGAGAGAGAGAGAGAGAGAGAGAGAAAGAGGGAGAAAAGAAAAGAATGAAACTTCTTTATGTAGTAGTAGTAGTGGTCGTCGTCGCCACTATTCTATTCTCAATATATGTGAGTGTGCAAAGCGATGGCGGTAAATGACAGGCACACACACACACACACATAACATCTCGTTGTACTGCTGATGCTTCTGCTGCTTGTTGTTTCATTCTCCGGGGCTATAGGACGAGCGCGCATTTGCTTGCTTGCTTGCTCGCTCGCTCGTTCGCTCGCATGCACGAAGAGAAAGGAACAGGAAAATAATCAAGCAAGCAACCAGCTTGCCTGTGCCTGTCCGTCGTCGTCGATGAATAGATGGCAAAAAGGAAAAGTAGAACGCGCAAAAAAAAAGAAAAAGAAAAAAAAACGATCATGTTCTTTGCAATGCATTTGCTCGACGACGACGACGACGTCGACGACACACTAACGACGATGATGAAGGCAGAAGCAGGGCAAATGAATAGAAGAAGAAGAAGCAAAAGAATAAAGATGAAGAGACTACTTTTGAAAAACCGTCGTTCTTTCTTTTCTCGTTTCTTTTTTTCTAATGACAAACCTTGCTGTTGTGAATAGTTGGCATATGGCTGTTGTTGCTTTGATGCTGGATGAGGCGGTGGCATCATGGAGGAATTGTTATAGTTGCTATTCCCTAGAACAAAAATCATAACGATTTAGCTTAGAAATAGTAAGACATGCGCATATAGTCAAAAAAAAAACGGAGGCTTCAAGCAATATTAGAATGGAGTGCGACAGAGTGCTAGCGCACATACACCAAAAAAAAAAGGAACAAAAATTATAGGGTATGCAATACAAAACAGAAGAACGAGAGCGACATGCATTGAATTTAGTTTGATATTATACATTCTTGTTCTTGCAGATGAAATACAATGATAATAGCAAAAGAAATAATGATAATAACAATTAAATTCATTTTCTTTTTTTTTATGAGCCATAGACCAAACAAAAAAAAAACTTTGTTTCTAATGCAGTTTTTTACCCGGTGGTGTTTGTGCTGTTGCCATTGGCATATTACCACCTTGTTGTTGTTGTTGATCATGTGATGTTGTTGTTGAATCAGTTGCATTCTAAAAGACCAATCAATGAAAATTAGAAATTTATTATCTATTTATAAAAATGGTGATTCAATTAATTGTTCTTCTTTATGACAAAGATAGATGACATTGTCGTTATAGATCTTTCTTTTTTCTACTACTTCTTCAAATCATGAGCATATTTCCGGACAAGAATTTTTTGACAAGAGAAAAAGTAAACTTGTCAGCCGAACACACGACGTGTTGTATGTCGATCAGATGGTAATGAATGAAAATCTCTTTACGCACATACACCCACTCCTTCTTCATTCATTCATACAAATCAACCGTATCTCTCTTTCTTCATGTCTCTCTCTCTCTCTCTTTTGGCAATCTTCTCTTTCGTTTCTCACCCCGCCCCACTCTCATTTGTAAATGTCCAATTAAAGAACACTCAATGTATGTGGTCGTCGATGAGATCAGCTGTTTCATATAAAAGAGAAAAAAAAGAGGGAAATTGGTGTCTCTTGACATGCCAACAACAACAAAAACATACCCGGTAGAAAATAAAAAATAACATGTAAGACAGATGATCATGATGAAAAGAAAAAACAAATCAAGGTTATTTGATAATGATCATTGTATGTCTTTTTTCTTTCACTCTCACGCTTTTCTCTTTCCATATGTTTTCTTTTTTTTTATAGACTTAGTTGTTTAGTATTCATATAGAATTTATATTTGACGTTTATAATAGAAAAGGTAAGTTGTTAAACTACATTTGTCATTTTTTACCTTTCTATTACACTATGATTACAGTAATCTCTTATGTCATTCAATGTATAAAAAAAAAACAAAATACAGAAAACATAACAAAGTATATTGTACACAAATGTAAATTTATCTATTTCATAACAAAATATTACATACCAGATCTGTATTATTATTTGTTGATGATGGTAAACAACCATCTTTTGAAGGATATGGTGATGACTAAAAGAAAGAAAAAAAATAAGCTTAAAAATTAATTCTGTTCTTTTTTTTTATTGTTTGTCAATTCCTACAACAACAATATTTTACTATTTATCACACGTGCAAAGGAAAATAAGGAATAAATATAGTGGTTAGACGAAAGATATATATATATATCTGTATATATATAGACTGACACACAAAGGTGCACTACCTCAACTTGATTTTCGCCATAATTTCCATAATAAGTTCTTCCTATTGATGACAGTTGCTGATGTTCATAAACACCAGTATCATGAGTATATGGTGAATAATAACCACTTGTACGTGATTCGTATGTATCAAATGGTGATAACTGAATAATATTTGTTGTAGATAGATTTTCTCATTATTAAAATTATTATGATTATTTTTTTTTTTCGTTTAGAAATGATTGACAAAAAAAAAACAATAAATAAAACAAAACAAAACAAATACTTACGATTTGATGATGTTGAGGATGATGAGGAGGTGCTGATGAATATGGTGGATACATAGGACGATATGGCATTTGAGTTTGTTGAGGTGTACCTTGTGGTGGTCCATTATAATAATTATTACTACCCATCATAGGATTCATAATCATAGCTTGTGTTCTATTATTATTTGAATAAAAATTATTTGCTGCTGATTGTGATGACATATCACTTGTCATTGTTTCACCACCACCACCACCACCACTTGAATTTGTACTAGTTTTAGTCGATTCGTAAGACATTTTATATTAATTAATATTCAATAATCATTATAAACTATGATTATAAAACAATACAATTAATAAATATAATAAAAATATAATAACTTACACAAAAGACAAAAATCAAATAGACAAGAGTCGAAATGACGACAAAATTAAAAAAAAGATTATTGAAAATGTCGTTTTCGCATCTGAAATAAGAAAATTCTGCTATATTTTTTTTTTCCTTCTCTTTCTTTCTTTCTTATTGAACACAAAAGAAAATATGGACTATATATAGAACAGAGGTCGTCAGATGACTTTAAGAAGAAGAAATCAAAGAAAATTAATCGAAAATTTTTTTATAAAAATAGTCATTCAATCATATTTAAAGAAGACATAACAAATAGAATATATTCTAAAAGAATAATACAACAACGCGCTTGGCCGCTCTCGCGAATCGGATTTAATCTTTTTGATTTTCGTAGCCATGATGGTCGAACTTAACCTCCATTTCTGACACATGATCAAATGATCCAATTATAATTCTTAAAATTAAATTTATATATGATTTTATAGTATTGAAAAAAAATTTATTAAAAAACAATAAAGAAAATATTCAAAGATAAAAAAAAGTAAAGAATTTTTTTTATCGAAATAAAAAAATATATTTATCTAAAGATAAATTCTTATTTGTAATTAATAAACCAATGAAATAAAAATATTTTATATATTATTGTTTAAAAGATGTAAATATTTTTTTGTACTAGTATCATGATGTTTTGAATTAACGACAACAATTGGATCACCTTTTGTTGGTCGCCATATAAGTAATTGAGCATTATTTGCCTAAATATTAAAAAAAAAAAGAAAATAATCTTTAACAAAATAACTAATCATATTACTGATGGTTCTTGTAAAGCACAAGATGGAATAAATATATTTCGTTTAAGAAAAATAGGTTGATCTGGCACAGGATTACTTATAAGTTTAGCTCGCATTCCACGATTAAGATCAGGTTTAATATCAATTTCAATTGTTTGTGTCCAACGTATTGTACGAATTATTAATAATTCATTTTTCGTACAATTCATTGCACATAACCATACATAAAATCGTTGATGTCGATAAATATGTGTTAAATATGATTGTTCACCTTCACATGTTGGAATATCCCTGAAAAGAAACAAAAAATTTTATCTAGTGTTTAGTTTTTTTTTTTTATTTGTTCTTTACCATGGAATCCATGGTACAAATAAATCACGCATACTTATTGTATATTCAGATTGTCGATAGAGTGGACCTTGAATTGTCACTACTAAAAATATATAATTGATTAGTATAAAGATCAAATAGTCAAGACTTGAATTCATCTTAGTAGATTTGACTAGTAGAATTTTTCGTATAACATAAAGTATGAATGTGCGTTTGAATGACTTTTCAATTGATGCATATTACACTCCGATGATCATCATGCTCAGTTTTCTGTTTTACAAACAGTTATACTTTTTTTTGACTATCTGCGTGACAAATGCTTACTCTGCATAAAGATCTATGACGCTTGGTTTTTTTTAGATTTGTAGTCTAAAGTGTTCTTCCTTTTGCTGTATATTTTTTAATCATGTTTTGACCACTTTGTATCGGATGAATGTTCTCGCTCCACCAACATTATCGAATGTTGGTCTCATCAACCTGATATTTTAATTTCTTTTTTTTTTTTTGGTAAGTTTTTTTGGAACCAAAGATAAGAGCAAACAGTACCTACAGGGATATTCAGGAATGTCCCAAGATCAGTAAGATTGAAGCGGGGAGGAAAAGGGATCGATCCATTGTTACGACAATGGGTGAGCAGAAAAAAACAGAGAAACGTGTTCAGTTTTGCTTGAAATCACCTGCTTGAGATACCCTTGTGTATGTTATCTATGGCATCTATACTACATATTATAAGGGAACAAAGAAAAAAGTGAATCACAATATGATACATTTCAACTTGTATACTTATTCATTGACTCAATTGATTGTTCGTAAATTTTATTTACTAATAAACCACTTCAATCACTAACTTTACAATTATTTAACTTACTAAAGATTTCATATACTTTACTAAGTAAAGGTTTAGTTCTCTTTATTTTACCTTGATTTTTCGATCCATACCATGGAAAATTTCTTCCACAACTATCATTAATCATTGATGCATCACGAAGAACCAATTGTGGAAACTATTTATTTGTTTAATAATAAACAATATATTTTAAAGAAATACTTTATTTTTGCACATACTTCCCATGATGAACTACGAAAAGAGAAAAAAATTTTGAAAGTTTTTTTTTTATATTATTATTAAGAATATAGGACGACTTACTTACTAGCCAAGATCACCATATTGGTTATGAAATAACATAAAATCACCTATTGGAAATATATATATAAGATTAGAAGAATATATAGATATAAAATACGAACATGCTTGGACAAAGCCTACTTTCCAACATTCATTCGAATGAATCGGTGGAAAACGAAAACTAACTGTTGCTCTATATATATACGTATATATGATTTAATTTCAAGATAATTAATTAGTTTCTTACATAAAAGATGGTGATTTATATTTCAGAACACGTATTGATGTTTCATCAATTTCTGTTGGTCGTTTTTCAATAATTGCTTCAAAATTAATTATTTCAATATGTGGATCTCGTTTTATATCATAAAATCGTTGTTTTGTTTCGTTCAATTTTATATCAAATATTTCATTTATAGAAGATTTTAATGATCTATATAAAGAATTTATTTAAAAAAATATAAATGAAAATATATTCACAAATATAATACGTATAATATTCAATTGCATCGTTATTATAAGCCATAAAATTGTTTGTAATTCTTGACTTCGTAGAAGTCTGATTGTTATCTGATAGAACACAAGAATGTATAGTTGAGTAGATAATAACAAATTGTGAAGAATTGTTAATTATGGAATTAAGAAAATAATGCTGAATTTAAGATAAAAATAATGACAATATGAATAATACTTAAGAACAAAAATTTGAATTGATTCGATATATTTAAGTTCATTAAAATAATAGTTTAGTTCAATTTAGATTATCATTATTAACTTAATAATAATGAAGACAATGTGATGGAATAATGACTCTTTTAATCAATCGTTTAAACAGCAAAAAAAAAATATCAAAGAAATGTTGGAAAAAATTAAATTAAACTATATCAGAAAGACAAAAGGAGGGAAATAAGAATTTATTACCATTGTATTACAAATATTTCTGTTCAAATAGTAAAATTTGAATTTCAAAATGATTTTTATAAGTTCTTTTAACAATAATAGTAATAGCATGATCTGTAAAAAGCGGACTTTTCGAATGATGTGAAAACAATTTTATTTATATTTTTTTATGACTAAAATCAATGGCATATCTGATTGTTTTTCTATTTATTTATTCTCGACGATCACAGTGTAGCCTTATAGTTATACTGCAGATAAATCTTTTATCATTCTGCCTAAATGTTCTTGCTTGTTATTATGACTTATAGTCTAGATTTTCGTTGTACACTTTATTTTATCTCTTCGTTATATGTCTGATCATTTGTTGTTTTTATTTTTATGATAATATATTTTTCGATTATGTAAAACAGAACTAATATAATAAATACAAATATGGGATAAATTCTGATGCATTTTTTGTATGAACAATATTTATGATGATTGTCTCTTTCTATTAATTTGCTATTTTGTACAAGAACTTGTTATAATTTTATGTTGATGGAAATGAATTAAGTAAATAACTGAAATAAGAATGATACATAAATGCAGTTTTATAGAAATGAATGTATTGGAAAGATCAGAAACTTCATTTGACCTAAAGACATTTTGAGCCAACCTAGGCCAAATCAGAGAAAAAGTGGCTTACTGAAAACTCTGCTTTAGATGTAAGAACAAATAAGAATGTAGAGGGTGAAAGCTGCTTTTAATCGATCGTTTACTATTTTTCTACTCTTCTGTTTCACTTAGCATTTTACAGTTGTTGTAATTACCAGAAAACAAGTTAAGCATCCAAGTGTTTGATCGTTTATAAAAATTTCTTCAAAAAGACCTAACCAGACCATGAATTTTAGAGGAAACTTTCGTTTATTGTTAATTTGGTGTCTTTTATTTGCTTTAGCATGATTCGCCGTCCAAATTCGTTCGTTTTAGGAGTTTTATATAACATCAATATCGAACGATTTTTCATTTGAAAATAAAATCTACACCCTGTTCACTTTTGAAAAATTATGTTCCATCTAGATTGCAAATTTTTTTCGGTTGTATTGTTGCTCTTCAGTAAGTGCATAGTGCAGTTATCTTCTTATAGACATGGAGTTTTAGCTTATATTTTAGTAAGCGATCAGCGCTTGATTTTGATATGCCATATTTCGTAGACAAACTTCGAATTGACACTTGCTTTTCTTTTTCCACTCTATGATTGACCTTTTGAATCATTTTACCAGCTCGAGTATAATACGTGGTGTACGCGACGAAGTTGACAATTAGATAGAACCAGTTTCACGAATAGTATTCACACCTAAGGAGCTATTTAATTCCTGAATGATCTTAGCAGAACCATCACCATCTAAAGTATCACAGTGCTATTCCAAGAATTCAAATGAAGCTGATAGTGATAACGAGACAGTTACGATAATCACTCATGTAATAATTACCATAAAACTACTTTCAATATACCGACGATTTTTAAAAAATTTGTTAAAACTGGCAGAATTGAGTTGTTTTCGAGGTACAGTGACAGAGTTGATGCGCTTAATCCGTCTGTACTAATTATAGATCCAAAATCGGCTTTAATTATAAGATAAATTTTCATCATAGATAGCGCTGAGAAAATTTTTATTAGTATGATATATTCTGAAACTTTTCTTCTCTGTTAATTTGAGTTTTTTTAAATAAATAATTCGAATTTCAATAAAAAACCATTCTGCAATCGTTTATAGTTAGAACTGAAAGTTTTAAGTGCTACAGCCAGTTGTTATGAGCACCACTGCATACAAGCTATAGTGCGAATAAATATGCAATATGGGCAATATCATTTTCAATCACATATTACTACATGATACAAATTTTCAGATTTTCAACTAACTCTTGCTCTTTAAGACTACAATATCATCGACTAGACTGAATAATTAATAATATATCTTTAATATACATATGTAATGAAACGATCATTATTTGAAGAATAAATAGAAAAGATTAGACATATTACCCATTTTTGCAACGAGGATTAAATATTTTTCCCTCAATCGATTTATATTTCCTGAATCCAACTATTAAACAAAAGCAGACTTACTGGCAAAGTCTTCTAAAACAAATTTTATTGTTGTATAGTATGAAAATATTTCACTTCAATGTACGATCCTTTTATACAAAATTTTTCAAGAGTATAAATTGCATTAGTACATTTTTGTGTATGACTTCCGTAAATCTATATGGATTTAGTTATACTTATAGTCACGCAGCATGAGAATTATTGGTTTTATGTTGAATACTACTAACATTCATATTTCTTTAATGAAAGAAATTAATGTCAATAACGTATTTTTCGACATGACCATTTTTCGTTGAACAAAGTCAAATAAAACCCTACATCCTTCTTTCATTAACATATGAAGAATAAACTATTTGTAAAATCATTCTCGTAAAAATGCAAACGAACTACTAGAAGAATAGTAACTTTCGTTGTTCTTATGAACAAAAAAAAAAGATGACTTCTAATTGTAATTCAATACGTATTTCAAAAACGTTCGTATATATATGTGCATAGTCCATCGATGTTTCTTATGTTCGAGCATTTTGAATATTTGTTTGCTTTATACTTAAGAGAAATATCCATAAAATCATTTGATTCATTCAATAAGTTCAGTCTATTTTTGGTGGCAATTTATTGTGCAAAATGACGTTTCAGAAAAATTTATTAGAGATTTAAGTTTTTTGCTAATTATTTTACCGTCAGAAAAAGAAATGCGTTTATATTTCATCATATGAGAGTGATAGTTTCATTAAAAGAAAAGGAAAGCTCGTTAAAATAATGTCACCAGCAAGACAGTGAATGTTGCAAAGAAAAAAGAAAGAAGCTTCTTTTATAGACAGACAACGAATGCCGGTGTGTCGTTTGAACTGCAATTGAAATATGTCATGCTGTGTGAGCAATATTCTCTATTTTCTATTCACTTTCTCATTTTCTTTTTAGTAGTCATAACCAATTTTCTCCACTAACAAAATGACCGACCGTCGATTATCTCATTTGAATGCGGCTTTTGCTGAACTTCGTTCACATATTCCAAGATTTCCATATGAAAAACGTCTCTCGAAAATTGACACTCTTCGTCTGGCTCTCGCTTATATTGAATTTCTCGATGGCCTTGCTCATACATCTTTAATGGCACATGAATACATTGCTCGTTCACCGAAATGGTCTCATTCTGAATTGGCTCTACGTCTCCGTTGGCTTGATTGGAACTATTTTCTCCCGCACTAGATTCTTTTTTTTTTGTAAAAATA